CCCCTCACACACAAAAATACACGACCTGGGACAGGCCAAAAGTAGTGACCAGCCCTCTCCTCCAATGACTGTCCGTTTCTGTAGCCGCGGGATTTCTTCACCTTGACCCGTCCCTGCTGTAGTAACTCGCTCTACTACGTTCAGGTGGTTGTAGTAAGATAGCGCGAACAACGACAAGAGACACACGATCGAACCGTTGCTGTCAGCCTCACAAATTTTGCAGCGTATACATTCTGATACGTTCGGTTTATAAACCATTCTTTTTTCCAGACAAAATGGCAGAACAAACGCCTCACTATATTTTCTCTCTCGCTGTCACGGGAGTGACGCGGTCTTTCATTGTCGCTTCACCTCAACCGATGAGTCAGTGCCCGGCCAGGTAAAAAAAAGGTATCCCTCCGCGCTACGCGACCTAATTTGCATACGGTACGGTGGAAGTGCGCGGTGGTTGTGGCAGGCTCAGCCGACTCTCCGCTCTCTGCCTGCCTGCCTGACTGCTTGCTTCGTGGTGGTGTATTATACACAATACCTGTGTGTGTGCGTGTGTGTGTTGTGTTCTGCTGAGATCGCTGGATTGTCCTATTCGTTCATTTTGATTCCAACATCTTGGATTATTGTACCTGGTAGATGCTGTAGGTGAGTAAAGTTGTTGTTAGATAAACCAACCGTTGTTTAAGTGTGTGTGTGTGTGTGTTTGTGTACGTGTACGTCTGTGTGTGTGTCCCTTCCTCCCAGGTAGGCCTGGCGTGTCCACAAGGCTATGCCTGTTCCCGGCGACATGCGACACCACCGAGTGCTCGGTGTAGCCTAGCGGCTTGGGCGACCATCGAGCCATCAACCAACCAGGCTCTCTACTTCTCTCTATATATTACAACGATACCGTCTTGTTGCCGAGGACACTCCTAAATATTATGCTCCACTTCGCAATTTCAAATTTATCCAATTTTTTTCTTCTGACAAATAACACTCAATCAAGAAACATTTGGGGAAAAGGGGGGGGGGCTTATAAATCTCGAGAGGGGAATTAGTACAGTGATCGAGTCGTTGTATTGATTGACCCGACCCCTTCCCAAGTCTCCCATTTTCCGTGGCTCATTCAGTTCGATGTTTGAAAGAGAAAGGTCTCGGGGATCGAATCAAAATGAATGAATGACTCAACAACACAAACGATTCGCTTCATCAGACCGCTCGTGTCGTATATGTCATTTATGCTGGTGTAGTGGTAGCGCCGACAAAATGTGTGTGTGTGTGTGTGTGTGTGTGTGTGTGTGTGTGTGTGTGTGTGTGCTCTCACTCATTTATACTTCATGATGACAGTAGGCGTTGGGACTTCTGATCCCATTCACCTAACACAGACAGAGAGAGAGCCCGGTGAAATCGATGAGATTATTGGTGATGTTGAGTGATGAATCACTTGGGTGACGTAGGTAAAGGAAACATTTCTCTCGGCGGTTTGTTCATTTCTTCACCACGACAGACATACATGTATGTAGGTAGGACTTATAGTTTGCTATGACTGACTTACAGTTTTGCTATGACTGACTTATAGTTTTGCTATGACTGACTTACAGTTTTGCTATGACTGACTTACAGTTTTGCTATGACTGACTTATAGTTTTGCTATGACTGACTTACAGTTTTGCTATGACTGACTTACAGTTTTGCTATGACTCACTCATACTGTGAATTATTTATCCCTGCGTCAATCAACACTGGCTGTATGTCCTCAATGTCACCTGAAGATTGGATCGCAACAACAACAACAACAAGAAAGGCAACAACAGTAACAACAACAACAACAACAACAAAAGCAACAACAGTAACAACAACACCACCACCAACAACAACAACAGCGGTAACAGTAACAACAACAATAGCGGTAATAGCAACAACGACATCATCGTTACAACAACAACAATAACAACAACAGCAACAACAACAGCAGCAACAACAACAGCAGTAACAACAACAACAATAGCGGTAATAGCAACAACAACTACAATTACAACAGCAGTAACAACAATAACGACAACCACAACAACAACACTAGGCCGACGCTTTGATCGCGGTGTTGCTGATCACTGTTGGTGATATTATAATAGACAAGGTCTTGTTCTAGTTATCTCTATATTTGTGAGATGAGATAACACCAAGAAAGATGCACTATATTTGTGAGATGACACAGAGAAAGATACCAAGACGTATTCTAATTCTGTGTTTGTAAGTGAGAAACTGTCAATATAACAATATATAGAATAGAATGTAGATTGATTGTAAAGCGCATAGGGCTTGCTGTTGAGCGGGGATATGCGCTATAGGCCTACTCATCATGCTGTTTAACATCATCATCATCATCATCATCATCATCATCATCATCATCATCATCATCATCATCATCATCATCATCATCATCATCATCCTCGTCATCATCATCATCACCAAGATGCAAAAAAAAAAATGTAGTCACGTACGAGACAACGCCAAAAAGAAGAAAAAACGTCACCTCTTCTCTATCTCTCTGCATCTGTTGTCATCTCCCCCCCC